CCCCAAAACCCCAAAACCCCAAAACCCCAAAGCAAAAGATGAGTCAGACATTTTATAATTGTATAAAAGTAAATAAAATAATGGAATAGTATCAAAATTTAGTAGAAGTCACCCATGAATATGCTGGAAAACATATCGCTTCCTTGCTACCTTTAGACTAGCCAAGCCAACTCTATATTTCTCATGCCATAATACTGTTGACATTTGGCTTCATCTTGATACAGATATTAAGCGCTCTAGCTTCTGGTCTATTCAAGAAATCTAAGGGCTCAGTGAATAATACATCAGCTACTACTAGAAAGCAAAAAAGATAATAAAGCCAGTTATTGATATGTGGTCCAACTAATTCAGGAAAGACAGCATTATTCTATCATTTGATAACCAAAGAAGTAAGAACCACAGTTTCATCTATTGAAGTGAATGAGACACCAAAAAGTATGGATGTTAAGATCCCAGCCTCAGCTTTACCAAATGGCTAGGATAGCTTGACAAAAAAGATTAGTGTGATTGATATTCCAGGCCACTATCATTTCAGAGAGAAACTTCAAGATGGACTAGAGACAGCAAAAGCAATATTAGTCACAGTTGATTCTAAAGAGAAGTAATATTAGTAAATTTAATTTATTTAGAGAGAAATTTGGAGAGGCAGCTGAGATTATATATGAAATCTTAAACAATCTTAATGTACTTTCAAATAGAACTCCAGTTTTGATTGCTTGCAACAAATAAGACCTTCAATTCTCAAAGAAAGCAACCACTGTTGAAATTGAACTTGAGAAAGAAATTGAGGAGCTCAGAAAAGTCAAGAAGGCAGTTTAAGTTGATGATATAAATGAGAAAGTAGGGTATCTTGAGTCAATGAAGAAGAAGTTTTCCTTTAGTGAATTGCAGGTACCAGTAAAGTTTGTAGAAATAAGTGTTAAGAACGAAGATTTAGGGGAAGTATACAAGTTTATCAATGGAAACTTTTGAAGAACTTAAATAATTAACTTATATAACTATCAATCAAATAATATCAAATCTCGAAAAGTAATATAAACTGAGTATTTCAATTAGGGCTTTGATAATTTTTATCTTAGAGAAGAGATAGCATTCTCTTGAACTCATTAAAACTAATCTTATTATCACCGTTGTCGTCAACTTCTGACATTAGTTTCTTGAGTAGTTCTTGGTTCTATCCTAACTACAATCCTACAATTTCTGCAAGTTCTTTCTCTTCAATGTATCCATTGCCATCTTTGTCTAGCATTTCAAAGGCATTCTGAATATTTTTGTTGTTAAGATACACATCTGATTTTAATGTAGCAGCGATGAACTCTGTGTAATTGATAGCTCCATTCTTATCAGTGTCAACTGCTCTCAATATTGATTACAGTTCATCTTCTGATAACCTTCCCTTCATAGCTTGCTTAAGTTCTTTCAAAGTAATGTACCCATCATTATTCTTGTCAATATTAAAGAAAATCTTTTTATTTTCGGAGATTTCATCAGCCTCACTTTAGTGAGCGATAAAGGTGAGTGCTATTTATTATATTTTTGAGGCGTTAGAAAATGATGCTATTCTCTAGATAACATTGTCATTCAAGGATGCTCTCTGCTCATTGTCACTTGCATACTTAAGGATCCATGGATGACCAAGAGCAGCTTTTGAATCAAGTCTTTTGCTTTGATGAGTCAAAAGATTTTTTATCAGATCTTTAGCCTCATCAGAAACTTCGTTCCATACTTCGTCTAAGCAAAATATTTTTAAAAATTCAATTTACCATCGAAGTCGTATTAGTAATTGATAACCTTCTCAAACACTTCTATATCGTTGTCGCCGTAAAAAGGTGGGTAACCAGCGAGCATAATGTACAAAATTACTCCAGCAGACCATAAATCGCATGAGTAAGAATATTACTTCATTATTACTTCTGGTGCCATGTATAATGATGTTCCAGCACAAGTTTTGAGCTTTGCGAGTACTTTCTTAGACTTTCCACCTTCACCTTCAATGCTCTCTAGATATGAAGTTGAAAGTCCGAAATCAATTAACTTGATAAGGGAGTTTTCATTTTTATTTTCAAATAGGAAATTTTCAGGTTTAAGATCTCTATATAAATATTTGTTTCAAGTCCATATAAAAAATTAGTAATTTACCTGTGCACAATATTATTTTTGTGAGTATACAAAATAGATTATAGAATTTGCTTGAATACAATAGCAGCTTTAGTCTCAGTGAAATGATTTTCTTCAACAATTTTATCAAATAACTCGCCACCAGTGCAGACCCTGATTAGAATGAAATATTGATAAAATTTACTCTTGAACAAGATATACATTTTAGTCATCTTCATAAATCTCATAGAGCTTGATAACGTTAGGATGATCCTATAAGATAAATTAATTCAATTCTTAATTTACTAGGGTCTTCAGAGCTCTTATTTCATTAATGAATCTATCGAATCTCTTAATTTTTTGTCTGGATATGAGTTTGATGGCTCTCTTTATGCCTAATAAAAATTAATTTTTGGAATATACCAGTCTTTTTGTGTTTAGCTAGATATACTTTGCCATATGCTCCCTCGCCGATTTCCTTTTCAAGAACATAGAATTAATTGATATCCATTGCTTTTGAAGGAATGAAGAATTCCCTTTTGATGACAAGTCTATCTAAGATTTCCCTCAGATTGAATTGCTTTTTAAATTACTCAAAGTCTTCGATTGGCTTGATTTTCGTGTTCTCATTCATGTTTTCTGATGTATCAAGTTCATTTATATCTTCCTCAGATATGTTTAGGGCACTGAGTTCAAGGACATCAGATCTCTGTGCAGGACTTTGGATAACGTTTTAACTGGATAGCTTATTGTGAGATGACATTTAATGCTAATTTTCTAATTCAAATATAATTCTTTTATCAAATGAGAAAACCTTGCCTTTTATATTATCACATTCAGCACAATGCGGGGTTTTGGGGTTTTGGGGTTTTGGGG